TGAAATTACAGAAGTAAGAAGGATGACACATAAAAATAATCCCCGTATTTCACTTTCACATGTGTGGGGTTTTTTTTGTTTTTTGCTTTTTGTTTTTTTGTCATTGCTGCTGCTGTTTTTTTTTAAGCATTCTGAGGGTTCACTCTGTTTATTACTAAGTCCTCCTGTCTCACTAAAGAGCTTGTCTTTCTAAAGAGTATGTTATCTACTCCTGGAATCTGTTGGAGTGGAGAGGGTGAGGACTGGCCGTCACTTGCTGGGAATACGCGTAAGGTTTAGAAGTCATGCCTATCGCTGAGGCAGTAACAGAGGTAAACCTTCAAGGCAGCTCATAGTTCTGTCATTTCCGGGGAAGCTAACAGGAATTGATCTAGCAGTCTCTCTGTTATATATCTACATATACAGACATGTAGAGGTGACTTCTAAGCCTTCAGGCATTCCCAGCAAGGCAGGGCAAGTCCCCATGCATAGATAGTTGGGATAAGAAAAGGAAGGGAATTCAGTGTGTCAGAGAGACACTCTGCCTTTCCATGTTTATCGCACGCCATTCACATCAGCCAAGACACGCAATCCCCAGAACGGCCCATCAGGGGATGAACACGTAAAGAAAATGGGGCACATCAACTCTGTCCATTCACTAAAAGTCAGGAATTTGCACACCTAGAATGAGTCCATTTCATGGTAGGTAAACTGTGCCCCCATAAAGCTATTAAATGAAGAAAGAAAATAGGGTACAGTCACAGTGGAATAGTATTCAGCCTTGAAAAAGGAGGTCCTACCATTTGCAACAACGTGGATGGAACTGGAGGCGATGGTGTTTAGTGAAGTAAGCCAGGCACAGAAACGCTAATACCCTACGACGGAGACGCACTCATATGTAATCTCAAAACGCCCAGCTCAGGAGCACAGAGTGGCATGGTGGTTACCAAGGGGCTGGGGGAGAAGTGGGGAAGTGAAGCTTAATTAAAGGAGACAACGTTTCCATCAGAGAGGAAGAGACCAGTTCAAGGGATCTATTGTACTCGTGGTGACTGTGGTTAGTAAGAATGCATTGTATGCTTTGTAGTCCTTTGGATATATACCCAGGAATGGGATTGCTGGGTCAAATGGAATTTCTATTTCCAGGTCCTTGAGGAATCTCCACACTGTCTTCCACAATGGTTGAACTAATTTACACTCCCACCCACAGTGTAAAAGTGTTCCTATTTCTCCACACCGTCTCCAGCATCTGTTGTCTCCAGATTTTTAAATGATCGCCATTCTAACTGGCATGAGATGGTATCTCAATATGGTTTTGATTTGCATTTCTCCAATGACCAGTGATGATGACTTGCTTTCTTATGTTTGTTGGCTGCATAAATGTCTTCTTTTGAGAAGTGTCTGTTCATACCCTTTGCCCACTTTTTGATGGAGTTGTTTGTTATGTAACATTCAACTGTAAAGACACATGCACACGAATGTTCATTGCAGCACTGTTCACAATAGCAAAGACTTGGAACCAACCCAAATGCCCATCAATGATAGACTGGAGGAAGAAAATGTGGCACATAGACACCATGGAATACTATGCAGCCATAAAAATGGATGAGTTTGTGTCCTTCGTAGGGACATGGATGCATCTGGAAACCATCATTCTCAGCAAACTGACACAAGAACAGAAAAGCAAATACTGCATGTTCTCACTCTTAAGTGGCTGTCAAACAATGAGAACACATGGACACAGGGAGGGGAACATCACACGCTGGGGCCTGTTGCGGGGTGGGAGGCTAGGGGAGGGAGAGCAGGGGGTGGAGGGATTAGGGAGGGCTAACGTTAGGAAAATACCTAATGTAGATGATGGGGTGATGGCTGCAGCAAACCACCATGGCACGTGTATACCTGTGTAACAAACCCGCATGCTCTGCACATGGACCCCAGAACTTTATAATAATAAAAAAAGAATGCTTAGTATGCTTGAAAATGCCGAAGACAGTAGATTTGAAGTGTTTGCACCACAAATAAATATGTGAGGTAAGATGTAAATAAAGAAAAAGATAATAAAACTTCGAAAAAGACAAAGATTTCTGTGTAAACATACGAACATGAATGGATGTATATACGCGTCTGTGTGCCTGCCTTATGGTTTACTCAGGATCAGTGGGATCCCCCCTTGCTGCTGTCTAAAGATCTGCTGTGAGCTGGGAGAGGAGCTGTATTTGCGTTTATTGTGTCTGGCAAGCGTTCTGTTGTAGAAACAGCCGTTCCGAAGCTCTGGGGTTGTGGAAAGGACTCCTCTCTGATATTTGGCATGGGGCCACATGGGCTGACCTGAGAGTTTCCTCTACTTTCTACTCATGTTGATACACACGGAAACACACAGGCAGCCATGAGCACACACAGACAGACACACACAAGCATACAAGGAGACACGGACACAGCTACACATACGCACATACTCAAAACACACCTATACATGCACATACAAACCCATACACACACAACTACACATGTGCACACACACAAAACATGCATCTACACATATGCACAGATAGAAACACACCTGCACTCTATACACATCTACACATGCACACACAAACCCATACAAACGTGCACAGTGACATGTGGACACACAAAATGCACACATGCACCTACACATGTGCACAGATGGAAACACATCTGCACACTACACACATTTACACATGCACACACCCACAATGCACACACCTACACATGCACACGCAAACACACCTACACCTATACACACACTGACACATACACATACATGCCACTGCACACCTGCACATGAAAAACACATGAACACACTACACATACCTACACATACACAAACCCACACATACATGCATCTACACATAGGCACACATAACACACCTGTGCAATACACAACCCTCACATACATGCATCTATCCGTAGGCACATAGAAACACACCTACACACTACGCGCACCTACATATGCACACACAAACCCACATGAACATGCACTAACACCTATGCACACTAAAAACACACCAATATACTACACACACACACACACACACACACACACACAGAAACCAACAAAATACACCTCTACATGTACACAAAACACATCTACACATATGCACATACACAAATCCACACATACATGCACCTGCATATATACACACACAAAACCACATACACATATACATACACAGAACCCACCTACACACCCGTGCATGCACACAAAACCCACACATACGTGCACTGCAGATGCCCAAATATACATGCGTGCACACATGCACACATAGACACACGCCCCTCTGACGTATACAGGCACACTCCATTTATGCACACAGAAGCTTAGACTGCTCATGTGCCTCTACTGTGGAACTGGACACATCCCAGTGTCCACGGGGCTCCCGTGGGTAGTTTGTGGAACCCTCACCACCCGCCACCTGCTACTTCCTGACACTTGACAGATGTTGTGTGTCTTTGGTGCTGAGGAGTGGGATGCTGGATGTTGACGATTATCCTAACTCTTCCTCCAGTTGACCAAACAGTCCGAGTCAACTTTTCCAAATTTTCCTGAATTTGGCTTTTCTTCAGCATGTCACAGACAGCCACGCTGAAGTAGTGTTGAAATTGTTTTAATAAAATATAGACACAGGAGCATACATCCATGCAGGCATCCATCCATCTATCCATCCATCCACCTGTCTATCCATGCATCCATCCACCTGTCCATCCATCCATCCACCCATCCATCCACCTATCCATCCATACTTCCAGCTAGCTATCCATTCATCTACCTATCTATCCACCCATCCACCTGTTCATCCATCCATCCATCCACCTAACCGCCTATCCATCCATCCCTCCATCCATCCACCTAACCGCCTATCCATCCATCCCTCCATCCATCCACCTATCTAGCCATCTATCCATCCACCTACCTATCCACCCACCCATCTACCTATCTATCCATCCATCCATCTATCCATCCACCTATCCACCCATCCATCCATTCACCCATTCACCTACCTACTTACTCACCTACTCATCCATTCTCCTATCCACCCGTATCTCCATCCATCCCCTTACTGTATATCCTTCCACTCATCCACCTAACTATCCATCCATCCACCCAGCTATCCACACAACCATCCACCTACTCATTAATCTATCCACTCACCCACCCATGCATCCATGCCTCCATCCATCCATTCATCCATCCATCTATCCATCCATCCATCCATCCACCTATCTGTCCATCTATCCATCCATCTGCCCATCCATCCATGCATCCATCTGCCTGTCTATCCATCCATACATCCACCTAGCTATCCATTAATCCACCTATCTATCCATCCATCCACCTGTTTATCCATCCATCCATGCATCCATCCATCCATCCATTCATCCATCCATCCATTCATCCATCCATCCATCCATCCACTCACCCACCTACCCACCCATCCATCCATCCATCCACTCACCCACCTACCCACCCATCCATCCATCCGTCCACTTACCTGCCAGTCCACCCACCCTCCCAGTTCTCATTCTGTGGGATTTCATGAGATTTTTTTTTGAAATGCATAATGGTGTGTCTTTCTGGGTTGTCTAGTGCTTCTACTATATTTTGGTTTGTAATGGCAGGAAAATTGTCAACAAAAAAGGGAAAATTTTGTTCCCCATGTTCTTTTCAGTACATATTCAAAGTTGTTATTCATCTATTTCAAAGGAACTGCCTTTTAGGAATAATACTCACATAAAATGATCACGTTTGCCCACTATTTTAATTTCTACTGAGCCCGAAGGTCATCATTTATTTAAAACCGGGGCTAACATATTCTTACTTTTAGGCGTGAAGGTGAATGTTTAGAATGAGAAGAGAAATCACAACACATTGTAAATTTTTAAAGTTGCTGTTTTACATATCACAAAAAGTCAGAAAATCGTATATCATTTCTTATCGTTCTAATTTTCAAATTCACTTTCATCTTCTTTGTATCTAAGTTGACTCTGTTTTTCTCTTTCAGATAATGATTTTGATTTATCCGATGCCCTCGGGGGTGAGTAACAACATCATTTTGTAAAATCCCATCATTATTTGATATTAACGTAGTAAATGCAGGCACACCCCATACGTTCCTGGCTCGGTCCCAGCCCCCACAGTAACGGGAGTCATAGCATTTCTTGTCTTCCCAGTTCATGTGTTGTGTTTACTCTCGACTGTACTCTATTAAGTATGCAACAGCATTATTTCTTTTTGTTTGTTTGTTTCTTTTTTGAGATGGATCCTTGCTCTGTCACCCAGGCTGGAGTGCAGTGGTGCTATCTGAGGCTCACTACAACCTCTGCCTCCTGGGTTCAAGCAATTCTTCTGCCTCAGCCTCCCGGGTAACTGGGATTTCAGATGCGCCACCAGCCCGACTGATTTTTGTACTTTTAGTAGAGATGGTGTTTCACCATGTTGGCCAGGCTGGTCTCGAACTCCTGACCTTGTGATCCACCCGCCTCAGCCTTCCAAAGTGCTGGGGCGACAGGTGTGAGCCTCCGTGCCTGGCCAGCATTACTTCTAAAGTCAGTATACTCTAATTGAAAATACCTCATTAGGCCGGGCGCGGTGGCTCACACCTGTCATCCCAGCACTTTGGGAGGCTGAGGCAGAGAGTTACTTGAACCCAGGAGGCGGAGGTTGCAGTGAGCTGAGATTGCACCACTACACTCCAGCCTGGGCTACAGAGTGAGACTCTGTCTAAAAAAAAGAAAAGATAAAAAAATACCTTATTTTTAAAAACTGCAGATACCTAGATGAAGTGGGCACCTGCTGTTGGAAAAATGATGCCGAGGGTCTGGCTTGGTGCAGGGTGGCTGCAAAGCTTCCGTATGTAAAACACACCGCGAAGCACCATAGGACAGAGTGCAGGGAAGGAGGCCCGCCTGTGTGTGTCAACCTGCCTTAGGATAAAAACTATCCTCTTACATGGGGAAGAAAAGCAAGACGCCCTCGTTAAGATCAGTGGACCACCCTGGTGGAATAATTCACACTCCTGTGGTGGTCAAATGCTGAGCAAACTCGCCAGTCACTTGGGGAAGGGGCTAGAGGAGGTGAGCAGCGGGGGGGGATCCCCAGGAGAGAGAGGGGTGTCCAGTCTTGTCTTCCTCTCTCTCGAAATCAGTACTCGCTCTCTCTATGGGTCTATGCCTTCCTTTTTCTTTTCTTCCTTTTTTTTTTTTTTAGACGGAGTTTCGCTCTTGTTGCCCAGGCTGGAGTGGCACGATCTTGGCTTACTGCATCCTCCGCCTCCCGGCTTCAAGTGATTCTCCTGCCTCAGCCTCCTGAGTAGCTGGGATTACAGGTGCCTGCCACCACGCCTGGCTAATGTCGTATTTTTAGATTTTTAGTAGAGACAGAGTTTCTCCGTGTTGATCGGGTTGGTCTCAAACTCCTGACCTCAGGTGATCCATCCACCTTGGCCTCCCAAAGTGCTGGGATTGCAGGCATGAGCCACCGCGCCCGGCCACAGCTTCCTTTTTCTGCAACTCTTCCTGTCTCCCGCTGCTCATCCAGAGCCCTCATGAAAGGGCATGGGAAAAAGAGTGGAAGGGAATCCGTCTCATCACTCTGTCTGGCCCTGGGTCTTGTCATCCCTTGGTGTCTGTTTTCTGGGCTGCCATAAAAAAGTACCACCAACTGGGACTTAAACCTCAAGGATGTGTCATCTTCCAGACCTGGAGAACGGAACTCTGAAATCAAGGTGTGGACAGGCCTGTGCTCCCTCTGGAAGCTCTATGGGAGGGTCCTTCCTCCCTCTCACTGCTCCTGGGGGCTCCAGGTGTCCCTGGGTTTGTGGCCACATCACTCCAGCCTCAGCCTCCACCTCCAGGTGGACTCCTCTTCTGTGTCTCTGTCTCCTTTTCTTTCTCTTCCAAGGACACTTGTCATTGGATTTAGGGCCACCTTACTCCAGGATAATCTCATCTCAAGAGACTTGTATCAGACCCTATTTCCAAATCAGGTCTCATTGACAGGTTCTTGGCTTTGGGATGTAGACAGATGTTTTTGGGGGACCGTTGTTCAATCCACTACAGGTATATCCAGTTCTTTCTGGCGGCTTTAGGGGAGGACCCTTCCTGCCTCTCCCAGCTTTTGAGGGCTCCCGGTGTCCCTGTGCTTGTGGCTGCACTGCCATTGTCTACACTGACTTTGTCTACACTGCCATCTTCCCTGTGTCTCTGTATATCCAAATAGCGCTCTGCCTCTGTCTACACTGCCCTCTTCCCTGCGTCTCTGTATATCCAAATAGTGCTCTGCCTCTGTCTACACTGCCGTCTTCCCTGCGTCTCTGTATATCCAAATAGTGCTCTGCCTCTGTCTACACTGACGTCTTCCCTGCGTCTCTGTATATCCAAATAGTGCTCTGCCTCTATCTACACTGACCTTTTCCCTGCGTCTCTGTATATCCAAGTAGTGCTCTGCCTCTGTCTACACTGCCCTCTTCCCTGCATCTCTGTATATCCAAATAGTGCTCTGCCTCTGTCTACACTGCCCTCTTCCCTGTGTCTCTGTATATCCAAATAGTGCTCTGCCCTGTCTACACTGCCCTTTTCCCTGTTTCTCTGTATATCCAAATCATGCTCTGCCACTGTCTACACTGCCGTCTTTCCTGTGTCTCTGTATATCCAAATTTCCTTCTTTTTTTTTTTTTGAGATAGAGTCTTGCTCTTGTTGCCCAGGCTGCAGTGCAGTGGGCCGATCTCAGCTCACTGCAACCTCCGCTTCCCAGGTTTAAGCGATTCTCCTGCCCCAGTGCTCCCTAGTAGCTGGCATTACAGGCATGCATGACCATGCCTGGCTGATTTTTGTATTTTTAGTAGAGACAGGGTTTCTCCATGTTGGTGAGGGTGGTCTCAAACTCCCAACCTCAGGTGATCCGGTGATCCGCCCTCCTGGGCCCCCCACAGTGCTGAGATGACAGACATGAGCCACTGCGCCCGACCCAAATTTCCTTCTTAGGACAGCCGTCACTAGGACCTGTCCTAATCTCTTATAACCTCACCTTAACTAATCACAACTGCAAGCACCCTACTTCCAAGTAAGATCACTTATGGAGCTTTACGGCGAATGTGGATTTGGGAGGAATGAGCCTCAACCCAGGACTGCGCCGTCTTCACTTTTTCATGTTTTACTTTTTTTTTTCCTTTTCTTTTTTTTGGGGGACAGGGTCTCGCTGTGTTGCTCAGGTTGGAGCGCAGTGGTGGGATCTTGGCTCCCTACAGCCTCCACCATCTGTGCTCCAGCAGTCCTCCCACCTCAGCCTCCCAGAGTGCTGAGGTGTGAGAGGATGGTAGGTATGAGCCAGCGCCCCTGGCCGGCTTTTTAATCCTACACCCTGCGGTGCAATGCACATGGTTTGAGCAGAAACCATGCTGATGGGATCACCTTTTCCTGACCACCTGCCCTTTCTTGGCTACTGGGAGCAGCCGTTCACTGCCCTGGGAGGCGCCCTTGCTCTTTTGACCTCCTCCTGACTGACTTCCATTCTAAGTGGGGCAGCCTGGGCGGAGGTCTGATGGAGCCAAAAGTGTGTCTTCTATAAGAAATATGTTGGACATAGATGCTCGGTGCCGCAAAACAAAATCAGCACTGAGGCAAAGGATCTTTCAGCAATGCAGTTTTTATTTCCTGGGCTGCAGGAAGGGGACCCTCGGTAGCCATTGTGTCATGAGAGCACAATGAACAAAGGAAAACACACACATGTATCCCGGACGCGTGTGGGGTCGTCCTTCCTGCCGTGTCTGAGCTCCGTGGGCTGGAGCCAGACCTCACCATCTAAACTAAAACCCGACGGGCTGACAACTTAAAACTTTTCTGAACAGGTGAAAGCCACGGAGAGCTGGGACACGCCTGTGAGCACGTCCAGCACAGGTATCTCGGTGAAAGTACAAGGACATAGAATGTTCTACATGCCTGTGAGCACGGCGTGTCTAACAGCTGCATAGGATAGGGCTTCACAGAGAGTTTTTAGCACCCTTATTCTTTAACAAGAAAGGAAAGTTTAAAAAGGAACGTTTCTGCTTCCCACAAATGTGAGCAGCCTTTCAGCCATCAGCCCAGTGTCTCCTTCCCATGCGTACACTCGGGCTCTGGAAGGGCAGTTTTTCTGCTGAATTCCCCATTCTTCTGCCTTCCTGGCTTACGACTCACTCAGTCCCATTCAACGTTGAGAAGTGAAGAAGGGGCTCCTGGTCTCTCTGGAAGCCACGGCCGGCGGCGGCCTCTGTGCCTGTCTTCTGGGCTCAACAGTCGTCCTGTAAACCTCAGCCCAGTGTGGGCTGGTGAGAAAAAACCACGCTGAACACATTGTCCAGCTATTTCCAAGAAAATGAAACATCCTTCACCACAGAAGAGCTGGTGCTCGTGTTCCCAGCTGCAACTTTTACTGACCAAAATGTCTTCTCTCTTTAGACAATGAAGACAAGAAACCCACAGCAACCCCCAAGAAGCCCAGCGCTGGTAAGAGAGATGTGTTCCTAGTGTGCAAAGAAAAAGAACAAACCATTTTCTCTGCCAGCAGGGTGGGACTTAGGCAACCAGAAAGAAGAGATGACTGATTGCAGTGTTTCGGATGGAGCCTGGTTAAGATTTGAATTGTGTTGTGATGTTGATATTTCATGCAGTGATTCCAGTAAGAGAATGGTTGCTGATGTGAAATGTTTTTGGGGCCATTTGGGCAACATCTCTGGGTGCTTTTATTCTAAGGGTGTCAGTTACTCTGTCTTTAGTTTTGTTTTCTTATTTTTGAGATGGAGTCTCGCTTTCGTCTCCTAGGCTGGAGTGCAGTGATGCCATCTTGGCTCACTGCAACCACCCCCTGCCCGGCTTGAGCGATTGGTTCTCCTGCCTCAGCCACCACGCCCAGCTGATCATTGTATTTTTAGTTGAGACGAGTTTTCACTATGTTAGGCTGGTCTCGAACTCCTGAGTTCAGGTGATCCACCCGCCTCAGCCTCCCGAAGTGCTGGGAATATAGGCGTGACCCACTGCACCTAGCCTTTGTCTTCAGATTTCTACTTCTGGGAGACAAAGAATTTGGTGCTGAGACCCGCCCCATAAAGATTAAGAAGTGGACTCATCTCTCAACCTGTGGGCGTACACCTCACTTCTTGTCTAGGCTGCTCTTTCAAACAAAACTCAAAAACAAGGGGCAAATAATGGAATTGCCCAAGGCTAAATCCCATTGGTGGATAAACGGAGTAAAAATTGGCCAGGTGCGGTGCCTTACGCCTGTAATCCCAGCACTTTGGGAGGCTGAGGTGGGCAGATCACGAGGTCAGGAGTTCAAGACCAGCCTGACCAACATGGTGAAACCCTGTCTGTACTAAAAATACAAAAATTAGCTGGGCATGGTGGTGGGCGCCTGTAATCCCAGCTACTCAGAAGGCTGAGGCAGGAGAATCGCTTCAACCCGGGAGGCAGAGGTTGCGGTGAGCTGAAATTGCACCACTGCACTCCAGCCTGGGCAGCAGAGCGAAACTCCATCTCAAAACAAAACAACAAAAAAACCCAGAGTAAAATGATGCCAAAACTTATGGCATCACTGTCTTGTCTTAGGACTTCTGATTTTTCTCATATAAAACATTAATAGCTCCACTTGATCACTGGACTTCCTGTCTAGAGTGTCAGCTCATGAGCAGAGGGACCCCATACCCCCAGAACCTTGAACTATGCAATCATCCAGACAACAGTAGTTTTGAGCGTCTGAATTTGTATGATCATGGTTTCCTTGAGGAAGGGAGTGTAAATTCCCATACGTGACTTAGCATGGCTCAGTACATGCTGTTAGGTGGATTGCCAACAAGCATTCTCAATCTTGGTTGGGTTTTCAAAATCGTTCTTCATACGAGAAGACAAGATTTGAAGCCATGGCGAATTGTCACGTCTGTTGTGGCGCCTATGTGGGTTGTCAACGTCTGTTGTGGCGCCCGTGTGGGTTGCTAGAGGCATGTTCTAGACACCCTCTAGCCTAAATCCGATCACAGTCATGTTGTCCCCGTCTCTTAGGGTCTATCTTTTGAAAGGTGTTCGGGACCTGGGAGGAGAGGATGGTAGGTTGGGGAGTCAACAGGAGAAAACCATGTGCACGCAGAGCTGGAGTGTCAACCCCGTCCAGGAGACACAATTGCTTTATAAATTATTTCTCTCTCTCTCTCTCTCTCTCTCTCTCTCTCTCTCTCTCTCTC